GGAGGGACTGGGACACCCCGGGAGGGACTGGGACACACTGGGAAAGGCGGGACATCCTGGGAAGGGACTGGGACACCCCAGGAGGGACTGGGACATTCCAGAAGGGATCAGGACACCTCAGGAAGGGCCGGGACACCCTGGGAAAGGCGGGACATCCTGGGAAGGGCTGGGACACCCCGGGAAGGGCCGGGGCCAATCCCACCCCACATGCATTTGGGGACAGAAACCCCCCTGGCCTGGGATGCACCGGGAGTCCCACGGGCCCCTCGCGGGCACAAAGCCAGGCCTGGGGGAGGACCAGAGCTCCAAAACCCCCATTTTTGGGCTCAAAAGGGGATCTGTGTCCCTCCCCCTGCCCCTCTCCCTGCAGCCCCCCCGGGCCCCCCGTACCTGCCCCGCCGTGTCCAGGATGTCCAGGTTGGCGGGCTCGTCGTCGATGCGGATCCGGATCTTATAGGCGTCCTCTGGGCGTTCCCGGGGAAACCGGGAATGATTTGGGGATAATCGTCAGCTCCCAGAGGGGACGGGCACCAAACCCACCCCACTGTCCCAGGGAACGGGCACCAGACCCACCCCACTGTCCCAGGGAATGGGCACCAACCCCACCCCAGTGTCACAGGGAATGGGCACCAACCCCACCCCACTGTCCCAGAGGGAACGGGCACCAAACCCACCCCAGTGTCCCAGAGGGAACGGGCACCAAACCCACCCCAGTGTCCCAGGGAACGGGCACCAGACCCACCCCACTGTCCCAGGGAACGGGCACCAACCCCACCCCACTGTCCCAGGGAATGGGCACCAACCCCACCCCACTGTCCCAGGGAATGGGCACCAACCCCACCCCAGTGTCACAGAGGGAACGGGCACCAAACCCACCCCAGTGTCACAGAGGGAACGGGCACCAAACCCACCCCACTGTCACAGAGGGAACGGGCACCAAACCCACCCCACTGTCACAGAGGGAACGGGCACCAAACCCACCCCAGTGTCACAGGGAACGGGCACCAAACCCACCCCACTGTCACAGGGAACGGGCACCAGACCCACCCCAGTGTCCCAGGGAATGGGCACCAACCCCACCCCAGTGTCACAGGGAACGGGCACCAACCCCACCCCACTGTCCCAGAGGGAACAGGCACCAAACCCACCCCAGTGTCACAGGGAACGGGCACCAACCCCACCCCAGACCCCCCCCCTGCTCCCGGCCGGGCTCCGGCCGAGTTGAACCTGCCGCTTCCTGCCGGGATTTAACACCCCCGGGCTCAAATCCTGGGATTTCGTGTCCCAGTCCCCCGAAATCCAGCCCGGGGGGAGCCCGGAGCAGGAACTTCTATTGAGCTATTGATTTATCGATTCATTTATCTCTCCAGCTGTCACATTTTAGTGTTCTCCAGGCCAGGAAAGGTCTGTGGCCCGAGGGAGGAACTGCTGGGTTCTTAGGAGACATTATAATATAGAAATATTCTGGCTACAAATACCTATTCTGCCTATAAATATATGGATATTCTGTCTATAAATATAGAAATATTCTGCGTATGAATGCATAAATATTCTTGCTATAAATATGTAGATATTCTGCCTATAAATATAGAAATATTCTGCCTATGCCTGTAAGTATATAGATATTCTGTCCATAAGTATATAGATATTCTACCTATAAATGTATAAATATTCTGGCTATAAACATATAAATATTCTTCTATAAGTATAAAGATATTCTGTCTATAAATACATAAATATTCTGCCTATAAATATACAGATATTCTGCCTATAAATATAGAAATATCCAGCCTATAAATAAATATATATTCTGTCTGTAAATATATATTCTGCCTATAAATATATAAATATTCTGCCTATAAATATATGGATATTCTGTCTATAAATATAGAAATATTCTACCTATAAATACATAAATATTCTTGTATAAATATATATATTCTGTCTATAAATATAGAAATATTCTGCCTATAAATATACAGATATTCTGCCTATAAATATACAGATATTCTGCCTATAAATATACAGATATTCTGCCTATAAATATATGGATATTCTGCCTATAAATATATGGATATTCTGCCTATAAATATATAAATATTCTACCTATAAATATATAAATATTCTGCCTATGAATACATAAATATTCTTGCTATAAATATGTAGATATTCTGCCTATATATATATATATTAATATTCTGGCTACAAATATCTATTCTGCCTATAAATACATAAATATTCTTGCTATAAATATATGGATATTTTGCCTATATATATAAAAATTCTGCCTATAAGTATATAGATATTGTGTATATAAGTATATAGATATTCTGGCTATAAATATAGAAATATTCTGCTATAAGTATATAAATATTCTGCCTATAAATATAGAAATATTCTGGCTACAAATATATATTCTGTCTATAAATATACAGATATTCTGCCTATAAATATATAAATATTCTACCTATAAATACATAAATATTCTTGTATAAATATACATATATTCTGCCTATAAATATAGAAATATTCTGCCTATAAGTATATAGATATTCTGTCCATAAGTATATAGATATTCTACCTATAAATGTATAAATATTCTGCCTATAAATATATAGATATTCTGCCTATAAATATACAGATATTCTGCCTATAAATATATGGATATTCTGTCCATAAGTATATAGATATTCTACCTATAAATGTAGAAATATTCTGCCTATAAATACATAAATATTCTTGTATAAATATATATATATTCTGTCTATAAATATAGAAATATTCTGCTATAAATATAGAAATATTCTGCCTATAATACATAAATATTCTGCTATAAATCTATAAATATTCAGCCTATAAATCTATAAATATTCTGCTATAAATACACCAATATTCTGCTATAAATCTATAAATATTCTGCTATAAATGCACCAATATTCTGCTATAAATACACCAATATTCAGCCTATAAATACACCAATATTCTGCTATAAATGCACCAATATTCTGCTATAAATACACCAATATTCTGCTATAAATACACCAATATTCTGCTATAAATACACCAATATTCTGCTATAAATACACCAATATTCAGCCTATAAATACACCAATATTCTGCTATAAATACACCAATATTCTGCTATAAATACACCAATATTCTGCTATAAATACACCAATATTCTGCTATAAATACACCAATATTCTGCTATAAATACACCAATATTCTGCTATAAATACACCAATATTCTGCTATAAATACACCAATATTCTGCTATAAATACACCAATATTCAGCCTATAAATACACCAATATTCTGCTATAAATACACCAATATTCTGCTATAAATACACCAATATTCTGCTATAAATACACCAATATTCTGCTATAAATACACCAATATTCAGCCTATAAATACACCAATATTCTGCTATAAATACACCAATATTCTGCTATAAATACACCGATATTCTGCTATAAATACACCGATATTCTGCTGTAAATCCCTAACTCTCCTGTCCCCCTGAGTGGGAGGAGAGCCAAGGGCAGGGGTTCCTCACCGATGGTGGGGTCGTGGTCCTCGGGGAAGCGGTGGCTGATGAACTGCATGGTCATGGCTGGAGGGGAGCCCGGACACCGTCAGCCCTCTCTGCCGTCGTTTTGCCCATTTTCCCACTTTTCCGGGACGTTGCCCCGGGAACACCCCCCTCTTCCCTGCTCCCACTGCCCCCACATTCCCCTTTTTCCGTGTTTTCCCCCCAGAAGCAGGACTGGATCGGCGGCACCGCTTCCACAGCCCCGCTGGGAGGGGGCCTGGGGAGCCTTGACCCCATTCCCAGGGATCCCCCCGTGTTCCCAGGGATCCCCCCGTGTTCCCAGGGATCCCTGACCCCATTCCCGAGGATCCCTGACCCCATTCCCAGGGATCCCTGACCCCATTCCCAGGGATCCCTGACCCCATTCCCAGGGATCCCCCCGTGTTCCCAAGGATCCCTGACCCCATTCCCAGGGATCCCTGACCCCATTCCCAGGGATCCCTGACCCCATTCCCAGGGATCCCCCCGTGTTCCCAAGGATCCCTGACCCCATTCCCAGGGATTCCCCCGCGCTCCCAGGGAGTCCTGACCCCTTTTCCCATTTTCCCCACATTCCCCTTTTTTCCCCCCACCCCGGAATCAGGTCGGGATCGAGGCCCCGAAGCGGGAGCGGTTCCACGTCTGGATGCCGGGGATGGAGCCCAGAGGATCCCAGGGCTGGAGCCCAGAGGATCCCAGGGCTGGAGCCCAGAGGATCCCAGGGCTGGATCTCGGGGCAGGATCCCGATGGAGCCCAGAGGATCCCAGGGCTGGATCTCGGGGCAGGATCCCGCCGGATCCCAGCTCCCCTCACATTCCCAGGGCTCCAAGGGAACGGCCCCGCAGGGATGCGGGAGCAGGAGGAAGGGGCTGATACAGCCCGGGAGGGACCGGGAGGGGACCGGGACATCCCGGGAAGGGCCGGGACATCCCAGGAGGGAACCGGGACATCCCGGGAAGGGCCGGGACATCCCAGGAGGGAACCGGGACAGCCTGGGAAGGGTCCGGACATCTCGGGAAGGGCTGAGACAATCCAGCGGCACCGGGAGGGACCGGGAGGGGCCAGGACATCCCAGGAGGGAACCGGGACATCTTGGGAAGGGCCGGGACATCCCGGGAAGGGCCGGGACAATCCAGCGGCACCGGGACAGCCCGGGAAGGGCCGGGACATTTCGGGAAGGGTGGGACATCCCAGGAGGGAACCGGGACATCCCGGGAAGGGTCCGGACATCTCGGGAAGGGCCGGGACAATCCAGCGGCACCGGCACAGCCCGGGAGGGGCTGGGACATCTCGGGGGGAGCCAGGACAGCCCAGCAAGGACCGGGACACCCCGGGAAGGGCCGGGACACCCCGGCGGGGGCGGCACCGCGCCCAGACTGGGGGGGTGGTCAAGGGGCCGCTGCCGAGCCGAGCTGAGCCCCCCGGGCCGAGCTGAGCCCCCCGGGCCGAGCCGAGCCCCCCGGGCCGATCTGAGCCCCCAGCCGAGCCGAGCCCCCCGTCCGAGCTGAGCCCCCCGAGCCGAGCTGACCCCCCGGGCCGAGCCGCCCCCCGAAAGAGCCCCACGAACCGAGCCTAGCCCACCGATCTGAGCCCCCCGGGCCGAGCCGAGCCCCCCGGGCCGAGCCGAGCCCCCCGGGCCGATCTGAGCCCCCCGAGCCGATCTGAGCCCCCCAGACCGGTCCCCCCAGCACTCACCGCTCTTGCCGACGCCGCCCGCCCCGAGCATCACCAGTTTGTACTCGCGGTTCTGCCCCGCGCCGGGGCCGCCGCCGCCGCCCGGGCGGGCTCCGGAGTCCATCGCCCCCCACCCCCCCCTCCCTTCCCCCGCTTTTTTCCCGCTTTTTCCCGCTTTTTCCCGCTTTTTCCGCGGTTTTCCCCCTTGGTTTTCCCGGCCCCGCTCGCTCAGGCACCGAAATGGCGGCGGCTCCTCCCGGACCCGCCCCGGGCTGCGCGAGCGGCGGGCGGGGCGCGACGGCGGCTCTGAGGGGACACGGCGGGGACACAACCGGGACCCCCCGGGGCCCCCTCGGGAACCCCCATAACCGAGGGGCGGCTCTGAGGGGACACGGCGGGGACACAACGGGGACCCCCCGGGGCCCCCTCGGGAACCCCCATAACCCAGGGGCGGCTCTGAGGGGACACGGCGGGGACACAACCAGGACCCCCCGGGACCCTCGGGGCACCCCCATAACTGAGGGGCGGCTCTGAGGGGACACGGCGGGGACACAACCGGGACCCTCCGGAACCCCCATAACCGAGGGGGCGGTCGACGGGGACACAGCGGGGACACAACCGGGACCCCCCGGGGCCCCCTCGGGAACCCCCGTAATCCAGGGGCGGCTCTGAGGGGACACAGCGGGGACACAACCGGGACCCCCGGGACCCCCCGCCAGAACCCCCCGGGACCCCCGTAACCGAGGGGGCGGTCGGCGGGGACAGAACCGGGAGAACCGGGATTTCGACCCCCCAGGGCACCCCCGTAACCGACATGGGGGGGCTGCACCAGCCCCGGGAAACCCCCCCTGCCCCAGGAGGTTGTCCCAGCCCCCCATCCATGTCCCCCAGCCCCCATCCATCTCCCTCAGCCCCCCATCCATCTCCCTCAGCCCCACATCCATCTCCCCCAGCCCCATATCCATGTCCCCCAGCCCCCCATCCATCTCCCTCAGCCCCCCATCCATCTCCCCCAACCCCCATCCATCTCCCCCAGCCCCCATCCATCTCCCCCAGCCCCATATCCATGTCCCCCAACCCCCCATCCATCTCCC